AAGAAGAAGAAGAAGAAGAAGAAGAAGAAGAAGAAGAAGAAGAAGAAAGATTTAAAATGCTGGAAAATAGATGGATAGATATATATAAAGAGATGGATGGATGGATAAATAATTGATATATAGATAAATAGATAGACAGATAGACAGACAGATAGAAAGATAGAAAGAAAAATAGACAGATAAATAGATATAGAAAGATTTCAAATTCTGAAAGGCAGTTTCAGAAGTCAGTTTTCTCCAAGCACCGATACGTTAAACTTCACAGAGAACAAGAATTTGAGCAAGAATTAGTACATGCAATAAAAAAACCCTTTAATTAAAATATCAAATAAACCAATAAAACTGGTCACCCAAATTAATCAAACGTTGATTTGGGAGGGTCTCTTAGTTCCTTTGCTGTTTTTCAGATTTCTTAATTAAAGGAGGAACAGGTTTGCTTTGAAGTTTGGAAAATGGAACCAGTGGGAGGAAAAAGGTTCGGGGAGGTGGGTTAATTTTATTTTGCTTTTTGCCTCCTTCCTTCCTCCCCCACCGGCCCACCTGCTCCCCCCTCCAAATTTTCTATTAGCAGCTCCGCGGAGGGCAAGGAGGAAAGCAATTTAGATGGAAGAGGGAACACGGGAGAACTTTTTCAGAGAGCTCTTCTCCCCCATACTTTCAAAGCTTCCCTCCTGCTGGATTGTTAATTCATACTTCAAGCCAGCCAGCCAGCCAGCCATCGAAACAAACTCAGGTGGTCCTAATTTCTCAATTTCTCCACCTTCTGTATTTCACACCCATGCACCGAATTGTAGAGGTTCTTCAACTTTTGGAAGCTGGCGCCAGGTCCACTCCTTTTCTCCTTATGCAACCTTTTGATGTTGCTTTGCAGAGCTCGGAACGTGGTATACCAAAGAGGCTTTGGGGCAGTGGGGGGATTCAACCAGTGTAACAACCGGTTTGGTGAGCATGTGGACAGTGTTTTAAGAACAGCCATTTTCAGCTAAAAATTAAAACTGCTGCTGCAGCCCCAGTGAGTAAAACAGCTGGGGTATGGAAATCCATAGTGCCATGCAAATTAGCTGAGCTTCAAAACAAAGAAATAAAGGATAGACTAGAGTAGGGGCAGGTGGATGGGACCAACTGATTACTGGAACTACCAGTTCTCCCGAACCGGTGTGTACCAGCTGAATCTTATCCCCGTTTCTTTGGGAGTTGTCCAACTTCATGGTTATTCAGACAGGCGTCTACTAAATGGAAATGAGATTTTTTTTTCCTTCATGGGTTTACAAAGAAGCTTCCTTTGATCCTTCAGGTGTCCCTTGCTGAGAGATCGACACTATCAAAGGATCTTTTAGAAACTTCTGACCTTTTTCTATTGGCTTATCTTTTTTTATTTCAGGTACATCCAAGGAGCCGCCTCTCCTAAAGATATGCTTATTCTCGTTGATGCGTAAGTGCCCCAAAAGGTTAAACATTCATACAGAGGATTGAAAAATATTGCTCTTTTTTACAGCAATGGGTATGAAGATGTTTTAAAAAATGAGAAGGCTGTTTTTTATGGTACACCACCCAGAGATGTGCTTCTCATGACAAGTATCAATAGGATGAATATATAAATGATATTCGCTTTGATAACCTTTTGAAATGCAACAGGATGAAAAAAAACCTAGCACTGCTTGCTGCTCTTCCTTGCGAAAGAAAAGGGTTGAAATCCCAAAGCAGATTCTAAAGATGTGAATTTTAAAGTTGGAATGGCAAGAGAGGGAGGGAGGGAGGGAGGTGAGAAGGAAGGAAGAGGAAGGAAGGAGATGGAGGATGGAGAGAGGGAAGGGGGAAGGAAGGAAGGAGGGGAGGGAGGAAGGGGAGAAGGAAGGAAGGGGAAGGAAGGAGGGAGGGAAAAAGGAAGGGAGAAAGGAGATGAGGGATGGAGAGAGGGAAGGGGGGAGGAAGGAAGGAAGGAAGGAAGAAGGGGAGGGAGATGAGAAGGAAGGAAGGGAAGGAGGAAGATGGAGGGAAGGAGGGAAGCGTATGAGTCTCCTGTTTGACCAGGGGGTTAGACTAAAAGACCAAAGTTATATATTTATTCATTTATATATAAAAATGAAAATAAATGAATTAAAAATGATCTAAATTAAAAAAGAAATGTTGCAATGTGGTTACACATAAAAAAACAACAACAGCATCATGTAATTCAGAAGCTTTATCAAGTTCTCTCTTTGGAAGCACCATAGCCAAAACCCCAGGAACTATTCATCTCCGATTTCATCTTGCCAAAGGCCCTTTGCTTTGGCTGATGGACGAGATCAAAGGTCATGGAAAAGATAAGATTGCAAGTACGAACCGTCCCAGCCTTGCTTGTAAAGGGCCAGAGGAGCACAGGAGATGTCCACTGATGACCAAGGATGGTCTTTGATGGTTTCTTCTCCTTGGTAGGAGCGGTAGCGTCAGTGGGTTGACCCTGAAGTTGATCCGAACATCCGTCATTGAAATGTTGGAAACCTTGTCGGATGACGACTTTGTGAACGTGGTTTCGGTGAGTGTTCCCCTCTCTTTTGGGGGAGTTTGCGGGGGGGACAGGTCTAAAGAAGATTGGGCGACAGTAACCCCCTAGAAAAACACATGGAAAACTTTAGGCTGTTACCTGTCCTTTTGGTCACATCTTGGATTTATGTGGCTGAAATTCTTAAAATGCTTAAATGCCTGGTTTTTAAAAGTAGGAGCTTTCGGAGAGCAAATAGCAGATAGAAGACCAAGGAAGCAGAGATGGGTTTAGATCAAAATGCATCTTCACATGATACAAATGTCCTACTCTATTCTTTGATCCTTCCTTCCTTCTTCCTTCCCTCCCTCCCCATCTCCCCTTCCTTCCTTCCTTCCTTCCTTCCTTCCTTCCTTCCTTCCTTCCTTCCTTCCTTCCTTCCTCCAGATTACTTTGATTACTTGAAATCCCCTCTGGCTTCTTTCTCAAATGGTTTGCATGGGAGACCATTTGGGCACTGAAAAATCCCTTGTGTGTTCAATCACACCTGGCCAATAAAGAATTCTGTCTGTCATAACAATTTATGACTCCTGCAGTTCTAAGGGAATGTGTTAAACACGCTGTCTCTGTTTGTCAGTCTCTCTCTGTCTCTGCCTCTCTTTGTGTGTGTCCATGTGTGTGTCCGTGTGTGTGTCCGTGTGTGTGTGTGTGTGTGTGTGCACGCACACGTGTGTGTGCATGCATTTATTCTAGTCCTGCCTTAGCCATGAAAACCACTTGAGTGACTTTGAGACAATCACAAGGAGACTGGGAGTTCTAGTCCCATCTTAGTCATGAAAACCAGTTGA